ATATTGACATTAAGAGGGACATTAAAAAGGGGTAAGAAAAGCTAAAAGGGACTATGAAATTAAAGTTGCTAGGGATTCTAAAACTAACCCAAAAAGTTTTTTCCAGGTCTATAGAACAAAAGTTAGAGATAAGATAGGTCCCCTTAAAAATAACTATGGGCACCCTTTCTGACAAAGAGAATGAAATGTGCTCGATTTTAAATAATTATTTTCTCTCAGTTTTTACACAGGAAGACACTAACAATATTCCAGTAATTAATTTTTATAGTGGGCTAGAAGAAGATAAATTATGTAACATCACAGTCACTAGTGAAATGGTTGTGAAGCAGATAGACAGACTGAAGCAAAATAAGTCGCCGGGTCCTGATGAGGTTTTTTCAAGGGTTCTTAAGGAATGCAAAATGGAACTCTGTGAACCATTAACTAATATTTTTAATTTATCTCTTCAAACAGGTGTAGTGTCCTGACATGTGGAAGATGGCTAATGAATTCCTATTTTTAAAACAGGGGACAAGTCATTACCGTCAAATTACCGCCCAATAAGCCTGACCTCAATTGTAGGCAAATTACTAGAGTCAATTATAGCTGAGATTATAAGAAGCCATCTCGATAAGCATAGCTTGATTAATGATACTCAGCATGGATTCACAAGAGGCCGGTCTTGTCTAACTAATTTATTAACTTTCTTCAGTAAAGCTTTTGAGGCTGTTGACCACGATAAAGAATTTTATATTATTTACTTAGATTTTAGTAAGGCTTTTGATAGAGTTCAGCACCATAGACTGTTAACCCTTTGAGGGTTTTCGTCGTACTAGTACGTCTTACGCATAGGGGTTTTTGACGTACTAGTACTCATAAATTCTAGCGGCCTCAAATCTAGTGGGAGGAAAGCTGGTAGGCCTTCATATGAAAGAATGGGTCTATGTGGTCAGTGTGCACAGTCTAAAAAAAATCCTGCAGCACACAGTGCATAATGAGAAAAAAAAAACTTTGACCATTTTTTTTTAATAAATCAGCGACTTTGCAGTGTATTTTCGTATGGTATTTATTGTTGTATTCTAGTTTTCTTGGTCTCATTTTATAGAATGGAAGACATATTACTGAAATTGAGATGATTTTGACTGGTTTTACAATGAAAGGTGCCTTGAAATTGAGCTCAAAGTAGCAGAAATGTCCGATTTTTACCAAACTTCAAAGTAAACAAATCGTGCCAAGCGTGCAATACACGTCAACTGGTGAGTCTAATATTCTTTCACAAGTGCACCAATAATATTTATACCATTTTTTACACTAATGCAGTAGTCTGCATAACAGTAAATCTTATATTTTTTGTGAAAATAAAAATTCAATAGTGGAAAGCAAAAGAATATAAGAGGGGCCTTGAGACGTGAATAATGACTAGAGGAAATGTCATTTTAGTGCCAGGAATGTCTTTCTTGTTTATTCTGGACCCTATTCCGAAATTGGCATCTTTTGAAATTTGTGTGAAATTGGCAAATTGCTAAATTCTGACCACTGTACTGGATAGTTGAATTTCATAAATGAGTGGTTTCTTGCACCCATTCGATAGAAAAAATGGAGTTTCTAGCGAAATATTCATGTTTTTTGTCGACTAGTACAGTGAAATTGGCGAAAATGGGGCTCAAAGTGGGCAAAATCGCCGATGCGAAAACATCGCCGAGACCGCTAACTTTGTGAGAGCATAATTCCGTAAGTTTTCTATCAAAATTTCAAACTTTTGGTGTCTTTTGATCAGGAAAAAATTCTCTATCTTTTCATAAGAAAAAATTTTTTTTTTTTTAATTTGGCCGACCCTGAGAACGAGTTTCGGAGAGGGCCTGTCGACCCTCAAAGGGTTAAAGAAAGTGGCAGCTCATGGCATTGGGGGAAAAGTGCTCTCGTGGATCGAGTCATGGCTCACTGACAGGAAG